CGGCGCCACTATGGCGGATATTTGATAAAATGCTTGATCGTTTTCAAGGAATCATTGTTGTCATTAACATGGCAATTTCAATTTTCAGATGGTGGATTCAAGATAGTGGATGGTTTTTAAAATAGTGGATGCAAGTTAGACTGCTTTTCCGGTGTTATAGGTACTGGCAGTATTTTTTTGTTTTAACTTAAAAAAAAACTCTTAAACATCCAAATGTGATTTAAAATGACTAAGAGTAATAAATAAAGTATGCTTTGTCAATTGAAACTGTTTTGCTTCGAACCAAGTAGCTCATGGACTCTAATACCAACCCGAATACCGAAAATACAGGATTATTTATCATTATCAGTGTATAAATGTTTGAATTGAATATCATATTTTAAAATAATAATACTGTCAGCACTAAAAATACATTAAAAGCACCCTAATTCAAGATGACAGGTCTTCGATAAAATGTTCAATCTTCGTATGCAAAATAGTCGTAGTTATGGTATCTGCCAAGATGGCAGATTATTTTAAAAAAGGCAATGAAATGATCGATCTTTCTAAATGAATTATTTGTGAATTTTGGTCATTTCTAAATGGTTCCACAAAAAACACATGTTCTAATTACACTTTCAGTAGTCAAGTTTGTCAAGCTTATTAGCATTAACAAAAAGGCAGGGTGACAAACAATTAAAGTAGGTTTTGCATGTTACAAAGCAGTTTAGAAGTAACTGTCAATTATAACTGCTTTGTAACATGCAAAACCTACTTTAATTGTTTGTTATTACCCACTTTTTCAAATTTATCCATGCTGTCGACACTATAGATAAATGAAAACTTCTGTTTTTATAATATTTACCATCTAGTTTCAGATTAATGTTGTTTGATCTACCGTCCTTCTTGTAATCTGGGCTTAAAAATTTACCGTTTTTTATTTGATAAAATCACAGAATTTTGAGAACACGTGATAATACCAACCATATATATTCTACAAAGTTGTGTGTTCCAGCTATCTGAAAAAAATTCTGAAACATATCAAATTTAGCCACCACATCTAATGGTATGCACAAAACAGTAACTTATTTTAAGGGCTCATCCACGAAAAAATTGATTTTACTGTCTAAAACATGCCTACTTCACCGAAAAAGTATAATTTCTTGATATTGGAAACAATTTTGTTCGCTATACAGTCAACTCTCCATACCTCGATGTTATATATCTAGATATGTGACCTCTTTTTTCAATACGTCGATGGTTATCTCGGTCACTTCAAATGGCCTAGTTGGCTTTTCCTGTTGTATATCTCAATCTCTTCATGTATCGATGGTCCCTTCGAGATGTGTAGAGTTTGATGTATATTGAGTCATTCGAATTCAGTGACACACCACTTCCAAGCTTATCTTAACAGTCGTTGCAGCCCTATAATGTTCGGATTGATAAGGTTAGCTAGTTTTTTTTTCAAATTCATTTGTTTTCAAGACTCAATCGCGTTAGCTTTACGGAGCTGATATTTCATTGTTTGAAGATTAACAAGAATATCTTAATGCTAAGTCTAGTAGGGGTAGACCGATTATTTGAGGATTCCTGACTGTAAGCTTTTGAAGGCGTTATTATAAGCTATTAAATTATTAAGCTACTATGCATTTTTGTACAGAAAAACAATTTCAAACAATGAGCCCCTTGATGTAATACTAACAAGATTTCTCTTGGTATCCACTACCGAAAATTTTATACGGGGTAGTTGTAAGTGCAATGTATTTTGATCAATTTCTCCTCGGTGATCAATTTTCCCTCAGATTACGGTACTGACATAAATGTTCAGTGTTGTATGTTGTTAACTGCTATAATTAAATACATGGGCTTTGAACTTTATTTTTCATTACATTCTAAGCTTCAGTTAATTAAGACATTCACAGTAAAATCATGTACAACCGCACCCTATGTCTGAAGCAGTGCTTAGAATTACAATGCCGTCGCCCTTACTTCACGAAGGGAAAAAATCTAAAAAAGAAATGGATTTCGATTTATAAAAGGGATTAAACTTGACTGTTTACATCCGATCAAACATCCATATGCCAATCGTTCGTATGCCTGACATCCCGACTGCCACTTTTTCCTGTTTGTTTCTTATTAATCCTCTATGGATTGTTCTAGAGGAAAATACACTCAGGTCTTGTTTCAAACGGGGGTTATGTAACGTGCAAAAAAATCGTTTGAAAAATATAACAAGATTTTTATTTGTTACAAACTTAAATATTTTCAAAAGTTTAGACTTTGAAGCCAGTTTGAATATAATCACATTTTTTTAAAAAAATATTTTTTTTTTCAAGTATGCCATTTGATTACTTATGCTTAAAATGGATAAAAAAAACTGTGATTATATTTAGTTCGATAAGCTGTATCGTTTTGGAGAAATCGTTAAAAACGTACCGTGCAAATCACGATGGAGCGGCGCAAATGAGGAGACTGAGTTAGTGGATTTTTTTATCTATCGAACAAAATGGTTTTTTTTTTCTCTGTTCGGGATCTAACACCACTGCGACCAGTAAGTTGATCTATTGTAGTATATCCCGTGTCCTTAGTTTAGTGCATGTCGTATTACTCCATCACTATTGAGAAATGGTGAAGTATTCGATTTTTTTACAGTTGTCACTCTTGGATTTATCGCAAGGATCCGACTCTAATTGAAAGGTCCCGCTATTTATACCCTTCGGAGTGTTGAAACACCCTCCAAAGGCGCGCCCCTTTGTCAGTCAAAATTGGATTCCTTAGTAACAAAGTTAAGGTATGACACCGATAATGACCATGCATCAGCACCCTAGTCTTAATCACTTCAAACTAGGAAACAACGAATAGAAGATTAGGAATCACCTAGACGAAGACTAACTAACTAATTTTTTCCTTGCTTCAAGATCATTTCGGTGGACAAAGCCGACTCTTATCACTATCAACAAGGCATAAAAAGTAACAAGGGCTAAGATGTGTTCCTTGGATTACTGAAAAATCCTGCTCCCCTAGTTTGAAGTAGTCAGGACTAGGAATCGGTGGTTACGGGGCAGACAAAATGGTTATGATGAGTTATGAATTTTAAAAGTTCGTGATGTCCGGGATAATCCGAAAACTTCAACTAAAGTTTTCTCCGAAAATTCGCAGCTAAAAAATTATAGACTTTTTGTTTCATTCATATACCTGTGGGAGAAATTTCATAGCATTCTAAACCCACTCAACCTTTGCAAATTGGGTTACTGCCACTCACTTGCTATACATTTTTTTTTTTTCGGGGTTATGAAATAATTAGATGTAAGTATGATATGTTGTACTTGTAAGTTAAAAGCAGAGGTTTTAAAGTATGTGTTTGACACATGAAATTTGTCAATTTCGCCCTCTGAGTGTCACAGTCAGAGATTTTATGATTGGTGAGCGTTCACTTAGAGTGAGCACTCGCGAGTCGTAAAATCGCTGATTGTGAACATCTGAAAGCGACAGGTTGTATGTGTCAAACACTTGCCTTTCAACCTGTTCTTGTATCTAGCAAGTACAAAATATCATTATAATATCTAATGATTTCAAAATTCAGAAAATCATTTTTTTTTATATAGTAAATGAGTGAAAGCCAGCCTGGTTGCAAATACTCATATTAGCTAAAACAAAGTTTTTTTTTTTTTGAATTGTGAAATAATTACAAGCTATGATCATATTTTGTATTGGTAAGATGCCAGAAGAGGCTGAAAAGAATGTGTTTGACACATTAAACTTGTTTATTTCACTTCACGAGAAAGCAAAATTGACTGGTTTTATGCTTCAAACACATACTTTGTAGCCTCTTCTTGTAATTTACAAGTAAAACATGTGATCGTTCCATCTTTTGGTTTTATACCTGTCCGATAATTTAAAAAAATAAACCCCTGTACAGTTAAATTTATTTTTTTAGTAAAGAGTTGTTTTCAGCAATTACTTGAACATATTGCAATTTAAAGATCTTAATCAAATAACATTGCCTATTGTTAATTGAGAACTTCCTAAGACAATTTTTTTTTCATTCGACGTTAAGAGAATGTCCATATCAAAAATATTCTCTACTTGGACCAGGAATCAAAGCGTTTCTGGTATGGTACGCAACGCCTTATTGTCCTTAGTATAGGAAAACTCGTAGAAGTACCAGATTATTGCACCCTGCACATTTATGAATTTAGGGTTTGCTATAAAAAATGTTTGGGAATCAAAAAACTATTAGATGGTATAATGGTGTTTTGAGTTATGTTATGAGTTAAAAGAAGAAGTAGTAAAGTATGTGTTTAACTATAAAATCTATCAATTTCACATCCAGAGAGTCACAATCACGGATATTCACACAAGTTTTGACTCTCTGAAAGCGAAATCGGCATGTTTCAGGTGTCAAACACATACTTCACTTCTTGTAACTTACATTCGTAAAATGTTATCAAAAAATCTAATGAATTTAGAAACCTGAAAAGAAAATAATAGCAAATGAAAGGGAGCAACTTTTTGGCAGTAGTATGGATAGTTAACCACAATTTAATTTTGTCAGAAGATTTTAAATTCAATATTCTGGACCTCATTTATTGAAAATGCTTTTGCATTCAATGCGATGTTCAATGAAACTATGATTAATGAAAGTTTTAGTTAATTTCTGCGAAAATGATTCGTATGACAGTTCGATGAATAAACAAAGTTCTTTTTTTTTTAAACAACCAATAATGGTAAAAACATCTATATGTTTTGATTCTGCTAAAAGTTCACACATAAACAGTGCAGTTGATATAATAGAATCACATTTAGAGATATTAAGCAACCAATTTTGTCGGCGTACCAATTATTTCCAAGCAAACTTATTTTTTTAATTTGTACCAACTTTAACATATATTATGTGTGGAAATTTGTCTACAAAAATCAACATGCTATGTCTGTGAGAATGTTTAGGGTGAAAGTGTAAATATATATATATTTTATTCATTTGAAGTAAAGTGCTAAAAGTAAAACAAAGCTATACTTACATATACTTCTTCCCATTGTGAGACGTATCGCACTAAACGAGACAACCGCAATAACCTCACCAAAGATAATAATTTCGCTAGTCTAAGTATTCGCAATGCCCTGCCAGCATGTAGGATTTGAAATGAGTCGGAAAAATCCTGTAAATGAATAAAAATATAATAAATTCAGTAACATTTGATATTTGAAATGGAATGGTGGGTTTGTTGAATCTTAAATAATGAAAACGGCAACTTGTATTTGATTTGTTGAAAAATTAATATGTATGCTGCATCACAACCAAGGAACAAGACATCTATTTCTAGTAATTACCTGCACCCAAGTACACTAAATCAATTGTAAGCAAAGATAAGATGGAGCTATATATGCAATTAAATTGGCACAGCTATATGGGGCACAGTGCATCGGTTAGTGATACGTTGCGGCAAAATGATAATCAAATAAACTATTTTATAGCTTTCAGATTTGCCGCAACGCATGCAATGTGCATGGGCCTTTAGACCCACTATAATAATTTATTGTTTTGCCACTACTATAAAATTATGTTAACATTGTTAGGTAATTTTGGATAATGTTTACCATCCCACCGCATACGGATACAACAATCCTCAAGAGGATTTTTGTAACCGTATGTTTCAGTAGACTAGTTGTTAGGAATAGAATTAAGTATTCTATTCTGCCAAGATTATGAACAAATAAAGAAAAAAAAATTATACATTTCATATTGATTTCAAACTACAATTAACGACAAAATCCAAAGGCCTAGAATTTTCATGCACAACCACCCAACACAGTGAACGCACTCCAGTCTTCGCAACGCTGGATTAGTTTAAGGGGAAAGGGATGTCATTATTTTCTAAAAATTCAATAGCAGTTTTTTCGTTTAAAACCGAAATTCTTTCAATGAAAATGTGTTCACTGTGTTCCGGTAGGCAAAAAAGAACACATTTTCATGACCGTAATTTTGGTTTTGAACGGAAAAACTGCATTTGGTTTTTTTTTTGAAAATTAATGTCGTCCCCATTCACCTTAAAGCGACGCAGTGTGTCTGCGAATGATGTAATCGATTCGTATGGATGCAGCCAGGTCGAGTGATCGCACTGTATCACTTGAGGAGCCATGTCGGAGTAAGGCGAGAACCATACGGGCACTCATCGGTTAGAATGATTTCGCCTCAACCCATACTACTGCAAGGAAGAGAACCGAGATCCAACGACGATAAACAGAGAGAATCAGTCTGCTTCTACCACAGCTCGCGAACGGTCAACGGAGGGCGAACCTCCGCACGTATTAATTCAAATAAATGTTCGATGTGAAATAGTGTAAATATATGTCTTGTAGTTTTTCGTTCAATAAAGTGTAATTAATTGTAACCGGTGTTAACGTGCATTGCGCCCCGAAGAAGTCCCCGAATTGTGCCCCGTAGAGTGTAATCCGGAACTCCAGGGATTGTTCAGCCAATGCCAGCGAAGTACCACCAACAGCAAACAGCTGGTCCAGCGATGCGACAAGGTCACCCAAGGACGACCAACGAAGGTATCCCAACATAATTTGGTCCTTCGAACCGGATACTAGCCACCGGTGAGTCTGGTTGGGATATAAGCGAACACCGCCATTGCATGCCATCGAAGAAGTGCCTTTGTGTCCACCTGAAAGGATTTGCGCCATCACGGAAGGCCGTCATTATTCATCAAAGGACCTACGCCATCGCATACTGTCCTTTATCCCTACAAAGGGCATCTGCGCCATCATTGAACGCCGTCAATACATCGATCGCCATCACGACCGCTACTAGATTGGCGCCACCGCCTTGCGTATAAGGCCTCATTGCGCCATTGCATATTGGACCCAACTATTAATCAGCACTACTAATTGGCATGACGATTGCCATTTTCAACGATTGGGACTAGTGACACCGAAGTTACCAAGGATTAAACAACGATTTCCAGACGTTGGACAGGATTTGCAGGCCCACGTAGTTCAACCTTAGTGTTGCTCTATCACCGGTCAGGTAGGTTGAACTAGTGTATGTCCGGCCGAAGCCTTTTTTCTCAGTTCTAACACCGACATTTCGACCTGTTTTTTTAACCATTCGGGAATCAATCGACTGGTGTGCCATCCGTTGAGTGAGCTGTTGAGCCATCATCATACGATTCCTTTGGCAACTGCTGATGACGGATTGTTAGTGAGGAATCCGTGAAACGCTAACGAGGAAGAACGACAAGCTACACCACGACGTCAACAAACCCTACGAGCTTGGACAACGGACATCGAACCTCTCGTCCAGGTAAATTTACATTTAGATATATGCCCGGCCGTAGCTGGTTCTATGTTGATGCTGCACCACAAAATAAATTTTACCTTTTCGATGAAATTTGGCTAAATTTCTTACGGACGCAATCCCTATGCTCAAGGGCTTCATTGGACGAAGCATTGAGTCGTTTTTGAGTTGTACAGCGCCATCTTTAGATTCTCCAGGTGAGGCTAAAGTATATGTCCTGCCGTCGCAGGCATTCTGTCGATATTACATTGCTGTTTTTCCCTCTGTTGCACTGGATATTCCTCTTTGAGACAACTTGCTACTCTGTTGCTGTACATCGAAGGTGTTTTTCGAACTTGGCTGTTGGCGTTCTTTGTAATTCTCTAGGTGAGCTTTACGGTATATGTACAGCCGAAGATTGGGTCTTTGGATACTACATCCGCTCTTTTCTACCCTTTTGTCATTCACTGGATCGTTTTGGAGTCGGACGCTGCTGACATTCGCTAAAAGGCACAACAATTTTCGATTTGGTTCTGATCGGTTGAGGGGCACCGCTGTTTAGTCTCACAGGTGAGCTGAACAGTATATGTTCACCGAAGCGGGCCAATTCTTGAAACTACATCCACGTTTTCTCTCGCTTTTTGGAAAACATACTGCGTCGGCAAGATTCAACAATGGCAACCAAGGGATCAAGACAACTGAAGTCTCTCACGACGAAGCTCAGAGGTCTTCGCACTTCGTTCAGCAACATTAGACGGTTTGTTAGTGAGTTTAAGGAAGGGACAACAGCAAGTCAGATCAATGTTCGTATTGGTCGTCTCGATGAGTTGTGGGAATCCATTAATGAGACTTCTTGGGAGATAGAATCTCATGAAGATTTTGAAGACAACGAAGCATTTCATAAGGAACAGGAAGAGTTTGAAACCCGTTTCTACGATGTCAAATCTTTCCTGATGGATAAGGCGAACGAATTGCAAGAGATTCCCTCCCAAAATCAATCTATTCGGGGAGGCGATGCTACTTTGCATGGTGCGGTTGATCATGTCCGTCTTCCGCAAATAAAGCTTCAGAGTTTCGATGGGAACATAGATGAGTGGTTGAGCTTCAGAGACATCTACACTTCTCTGATTCATCACAAAACCGATTTGCCGCCAGTTGAGAAATTCCACTATCTCAAAGGATGTCTGGTAGGAGAGGCAAAGGCTCTGGTTGATCCACTACAGATCACTTCGAACAATTATCAGCTAGCATGGGATACGCTGCTAAAGCGTTACAATAATAGCAAACTCTTGAGGAAAAGACAAATCCAGGCGTTGCTAAAACTGCCGTCTCTCGTCAAGGAATCCGTTGATGAACTACACAAATTGGTGGAAGGATTCGATAGGGCTACTCGGAACTTAGATCAGGTACTCGAACCTGCTGATTACAAGGACTTGCTATTAGTGGAGCTCCTCAGTTCTCGTCTCGATCCAGCTACGCGACGAGGGTGGGAGGAATTTACGTCTACCAAGGAAAAGGATACATTTAAGGACTTAATGGATTTCCTCCAACGGCGAATCCAGATCCTTGAATCGCTACCAGTGAAATCGGAAGCCAAACGTGATTCTACATCACAGGAAAGGCGTAAACCTGTCTACCAGAAGGTTAGCCACAATGCTACTCAGTCCAACAGTGCACAATGTCCGTCCTGCTCAGAAACCCATGGATTACACATCTGTCCAGACTTCGTGAGGATGTCGTTATCCAGTAGGGAGTCTTTTCTGCGCAGTCATTCTCTTTGCCGAAACTGCCTAAAACGAGGTCATATCGCAAGGGATTGCTCATCGAGATATTCTTGCCGAAAGTGTAAGGCCAGACACCATACGATTATGTGTTTCAAGTCAGACGGAGTCAGCTCGAACCAGAGGTCATTCGGAAGTGGAGTTTCGGGTGAAGGTGCTAAGCAAAACGTAGCTGCTCAGAGCTCACAGGAGTTGAATGCTGCTTCAACAGAATCTGCATCGTCAAATATGGCAAAGGTTACGTCATCCCAGATGCTTTTGGCTACCGCTATTGTTATCATTGAGGACAGTCAAGGATCACGCTATCCAGCTCGTGCCCTACTCGACTCTGGTTCGGAATGTAATTTCATTTCGGAAGATTTGAGTAGGTTGATGAAGGTACCCAGCTACAAGGTCGATATTTCAATCCAAGGAGTTGGGCAGGCAAATACGAGGGTCACACGAAAGGTTCAAGCTACGGTCAAATCTCGGATTTCGTCATATTCGCGAACTATGGACTTCCTAGTACTGACAAGGGTTACTGCCTGTTTGCCTACTGCCTCGGTGCAGTCTAACAGATGGGAGATACCGGAAGGAATCGAACTTGCAGATCCAGAGTTTTTTCGATCAAGAAGGGTGGATTTGGTGTTAGGAATCCAGGCCTTCTTCAACTTCTTCCAATCTGGACGAGAGATTCCACTAGGTGACGGACTGCCTACACTCACTGAATCGGTGTTCGGATGGGTGATGTCCGGAGAAATCAATAGAGCAACTAAGGGTTCAAGATTCTCATGTAACCTCGCAGTCTCTGACAATTTGGAGGAACTATTGTCACGGTTTTGGTCCTGCGAGGAAGTGGGTGCTGTCAACAACTATTCCCCAGAGGAAACGCGCTGCGAGGAGCAGTTTGAGCGTACTGTACGAAGGGAAGCAGATGGTCGATATACGGTGACTCTTCCTAAAAACGAGCGAATCTTGGAACAACTGGGGGAATCTAAGGAAATAGCGCTGAAACGTCTACAAGGTGTGGAAAGAAGACTGTCGAGGGATCCTAATCTCCAAAAACAATACAACAGCTTCATGGCAGAATATGCTGAGCTCGGTCATATGAGGGTAGTGA